TGAACATTTTACATGTATCACTACATGTAACAACACAACAGACTGTGAACATTTTACATGTATCACTACATGTAACAACACAACAGACTGAACATTTTACATGTATCACTACATGTAACAACACAACAGACTGAACATTTTACATGTATCACTACATGTAACAACACAACAGACTGAACATTTTACATGTTACATGTAACAATACAACCGACGGTGAACATGTGTGTGTGTATCACTATATGGAACAACACAACAGACTGTGAACATTTTACATGTAACAACACAACAGACTGTGAACATTTTACATGTAACAACACAACAGACTGTGAACATTTTACATGTAACAACACAACAGACTGTGAACATTTTACATGTAACAACACAACAGACTGTGAACATGTGTGTGTTTCACCAGCTAAGACTTCCAGATAAACCTTTCTTTTAAAAAAAAAATGAAATATTTCGTGACTGATGAAATATTGATAAGATCACTAACTGAGTGTCATTTGATCTAAAATTGTTAGACTGGCACCATATATCCAATGCACTTTATGTTGTAAAACTGGGTAGTTTACGTACATTACTTACATTATTTTGGCAGTAAGCTCCAATAACAAAAACTGTACACTAAAGAATTAAACTGGAGTAGACCTTGAGGCTGACTAAGAAGATTGTGGAGTAAAGACCAACCAGAGAGAGGTGAATAGACATGGGTGGTAACTGTAGCAATAAACCTCAACTGCCCGAAATGCTAAAGCAAAGAAGGAAGAAGTTAATTTTTCTTCTGTTCCTATTTTCAACTCCAACTGGAGTATATGCTTCTCACTAGCTCATGCCAGGTCCTGATGGTTCATGACTGCAGCTACAGTCAGTCTATGGGTTGGGGTCACTAGTCATATGTCATCTGTAACAACAATTTGCATGGTAGGTTAATGTGTTACTATTATCTGCTAGTCTTGATAATACTCATGTTTTTGTGAACATAAGACAGTGATATTTATGAAGATAATATGAACTATGGACAGGAAGCATGATTCTGTTTTGAACATTAAAACATAATTTTGAGAATTGTTTATTGTCATGCTGTGCTGTTTTCCTTTCTGCTCAGCATTATCAGGGGTTTTGCCAGATGGTGCTGGTGTTCATGTCTCCCCAGACCTCAGCCGAAGCAATCGATATCAGTTACCCTGGCTGTTCTCTTAACATGTGGATTTTGGCAGCATGCAGCTCTTTGAGAACCGGGTTGTCAAATCTTCAAGTGCCTCTGGAGTCCCAAGGCTCCATTTTGGAGAATAAAGAATAGACCCACTGCCTCCTAACAAGCTTGACGTAGGAAGCAACTAATTAGGGATGTTTCCTTCAGGGTCAGAGTGCACCCATGCATGAGAAGCAATAAACCAACAGTCTGAACCAATAAGCCAGACCTGTAATACAGATGTGCATGCAAAACATACATTTTGGATCGAGGTCAAAGTCCAGGAGTTGATGAAGAACCAGAACTTTCTGCTGGAGTTTACAGCCATTGAGGGCTACGAAGGAAAAACCTTCAGGCAGCAGTTCAGAGAGACAACAGGCTGGACTAGCAGTTCAGAAAACATAGCATAGGCATTTTCCTTGATGTCAGTTTAGAAAAAAAAGCATATGTTATACAATTGTGAATATTTTTGCTGTGAAACAAATTTCACTTAGAATCTGTGGACACTGAAAAGTGTATGAGTATGTTCATTTCTAGTTTAATAAGTTTGTACAATAAACTGGGTTTTTTAAAAATTCATGTAAACAGTGGTCACTCAATAAAATTTACTGTAGTTTTTACCTGTACTGAACAGGTTGTATGCGATAGTGCATCTAGCTAGTGTGTACACTGTCAAAAGTGCGGGGTAATAGTAAAGTAAGTAAAGATCCCTTTGCATCAGTCATATGGAAAAAGCACCCATATTTTTACAGACCAATCGGCACTAGGTGGGTAATGTGGTCAGCATTACGCCGGCTGTCTTAACCTCTCCAGGACATACATTCTGTAACCTATTTTAGGCTGGGTCAACCTGCAACGCCACATACCATGATAAGAATTCACACAGTCAACAGTGGGTTTCGATCGCGGTACGTTGGAATTACGAGTTGGACTCGCAATGCCTAAACCACAGACTCCGCCTAGGCAATAATATACACACTGTTAAAGCTATCAGCTAGTGCACTCATTGATAAAACCATTAGCTAGTGCCTACACTGTTACATCATTCAGCTAGTAAGTACAGTTAAAGCTAGTACTTTGTGTGTACGGTGTTAAAACTATTAGCTAGTGTCTACACTGTTACATAATTCAGCTAGTAAGTACAGTTAAAGCTAGTACTTTGTGTGTACGGTGTTAAAACTATTAGCTAGTGTGTAACTGTAAAAGCTATTAGAATCTATCAGCTAGTATATACACTAAACTTTCAGTTAGTGTGTACATTGTTTAAGCTGTTTTCTAGTGTGTACATAGTTTAAGCTATTTTCTAGTGTATGCACTGTCAATGCTATTATCTAGCTTGTGGATGGTAAAAGCTAATATCTAGTATGTATACTATTAAATTTATCTGCTTGTGTGTACACTGTTTAAACTATCAGTGTGAACAATGTTAATAGTTCTGCTTGTACTAACTGATAGCTTTAACAACAGAAAAGCCACATTTCTTTCAGATTTACGGTATTTATCATAGAATCAAGGCTGAAGGGTTGCGATATCCATAGTACCAAGCCAAAGGGTTAACAACTCATGGTTTCTAAATATTAGAAGAAAAAAACACTGCAGTATCTTCTGCTTGGTGCATAGATTATCTAAAATATTAAGTGTAACAAGCATTGTAGTTTATATACCTAGAGACATACTTGTTCAATCTAGTGTAAAAATAAACAGAGAGCTGACATCCTAGAAATGTTTGGAACCACAGAATCCATGTGACACAACCAGCTGGATAAGTGCTCAACTACAGGTGGCAACAGCACCCCATAGCAACAGTCAATGATCCATGTGTGGTCAACTGTGTCCAGACATGCAACTGCATGCAGTGCTGTATGCTGCACATTTCTGTAGAATAGTTTTACATAAAACACATATTTTTGTTTTTTAAATATTGTCATTTGTCTTCTAAACCTAGTATTACAGAATTAATGTTAGTATTACTAAGAGCATCATTTGCTGTTCATTGTTGATTTATGTCTTGCATATTAAATTATCTGAGTGTTTCTGTCTTTAAAATATTAGAATAAATGTTGAAACTTCTGGCTGTGTTCCCTGTTAAAGAGTTCTTGCTATCATGTGGTCAGATTAGTGGTCAAATGATTGTCTTTCAAATCTGTACAATTCCATCAGCACTCCGTAAGCCCTAAGTCAACAAATCCAACACTCTGGTGCTACTGATTGTATGATTTATATGTTAATTATCTCTTGTTTGTGTGCAGTTGATGGGATGTTCCTTCCAGTCTTTGTTAATCTTCACAACTAGTGCCAACATTAAATTGATTCTTATCCATTATAATCCTCTGATAATTAGGATTATCTTAAAACATTTCACCCGGATCATTTTCAGACTAGAAGTTTATTCATTTAAACAAGAAGTAAATAAATATTTTTAAAAAACCATACAAAAAAACAATCACTGTTAGTGGCCATATAGGCGGCAAGAAAAAAAGCATGTTTAGCAGAGGGGAAAAACAGAGGAGAAATAAATATTCAAAAGTAATTAAACTTACTTTAATATTGGTAAAAAATGTAAATGGCATAAATGTCAACTCAAACCTGAGAATTATTATGTACATTTTATTTCTCTGTTTATTCTGCTGTGGACCTGATGAAACCATTGACATTTTCAAATGAATCACTACAGCAGAAACGTGTGATACAGATTTAAAAAAGAAAATTACTTTAAATTAGAAAAGCCATTCATTTTAATTATTGTATGAGAAACATAATTCTTTTTTTTTTCTTTTTTTTATAGATCATGTCATACAAGAAAAAAAAGTAGTTGAAAATCATATATCTATACATGAATCTGTCTTTCTGTGTGGGTTTGGGATTCCATTGCGAGAGGAAAAGCTAAGACCCAGTATCCCCTAACAAGCATGCTGCAAATGCGACTAATTAAGGGTTTGCTAAAATCGAATGCATTGGGTTGAAGAATGTACAACAGATGCCAGTCTGTTGACCACAGCACAATAAAACAGCCACCCCTTTGAGGACAAACGCAGAAGAACAAAAGAATTACATGCATCAGAAGAAGAAAATCAGCATTCTATGCACTTCTCATAAAAAAAAGTTACATTATTGTAACAGCAGTAAAGATGGAAAGTTTGACAAGACCAGAGAGAAAATGTTGGACATATTGGCAACAGGGTAAAAAATTACATCTGTATCAGAAATTATCAGCAGTACATGACAGAAGGCTGTAAAGGAGGATGAGACTTGTGCCACAAGACATAGACTGTGAGAAGAAGAAACAGAATATTTTGAAAAGCTAATATGCCACTTTCTGTTCATTTTGTGACAAAATATATTCACTCAAAGTTGAGAATATAACAGAAGACAACCACTGACACATATCATTTATTATATCTAATTACATATCACAAGTGAACTGTAAATCACTTCTGGGTTGAAATCGCTGTATACTCTGCAGCCAGCAAGTTCAGCAAGTAGTGCTGATGTTACTGCAGCCAGCAAGTTCAGCAAGTAGTGCTGATGTTACTGCAGCCAGCAAGTTCAGCAAGTAGTGCTGATGTTACTGCAGCCAGCAAGTTCAGCAAGCAGTGCTGATGTTACTGCAGCCAGCAAGTTCAGCAAGTAGTGCTGATGTTACTGCAGCCAGCAAGTTCAGCAAGTAGTGCTGATGTTACTGCAGCCAGCAAGTTTAGCAAGTAGTGCTGATGTTACTGCAGCCAGCAAGTTCAGCAAGTAGTGCTGATGTTACTGCAGCCAGCAAGTTCAGCAAGTAGTGCTGATGTTACTGCAGCCAGCAAGTTCAGCAAGTAGTGCTGATGTTACTGCAGCATTCAATGGGCAGTGACTGGTTGAACCAGTGAAATAAACGGGCACTAAATTGGAGTTGCTGACTGGGACAAGTATCAAGAGCTCTGACATAGGTGCCTAAGATGAAAGGTATTTCTCCATTTCCATCCATGAAGTCTTCAGGTTTGAGAGATGGACATGCAGGTGCTAGTGTCAATTCAAATTGTTCACCTGAAACAACAGACAAGCTTAATATAATCAGTAAAATGTTCTGCGTTTTGTTAACAGACTCAATCAACGATCACAACAACTTTGTCTAAACATTCATAGAACATACACCAGGCAAGAAGAGTTTTTATAATGCTAGAAAATCTGAAAATCAAAAGAATTAAAACTAGTCATCATTATAGTCAATTTCCACTTTTGTCAGTCAGCAATAAATGTGAGGATAAACCATTTGTGATAGTTGCCTGATGAGAAGCAATGGTTATTGTCTATATAGAAGGTCTTTAATGTCGCCAATCGATACTTTTGCTTTCACATGAGATCTGTTCCTGTGTGCCGCCTATACTGGTAGTTGTTGATCTGTTCCTGTGTGCCGCCTATACTGCTAGTTGTTGTGGCTGTATTCTAATGACATGACCACACCATTTGATCTGTTTCTCAAAGAATTTGGGTCATGGTGGTGGAGCCACATGGTGGTGGAGCCACATGGTGGTGTTCCTACAGTCTGTTTGATCATATCATTTCTCACTGTGCCTTGGATGGTTAAGTTGACGGCCATCCTCAGGCATCTCATTTCACATAAGTAGATTGTTTGTAGTTTAGCCTCTGATAACGTCAAAGTTTGGCGCTGGTAGCACAGAGTTGTCATGAGTATGCCCTTTATAATCTAGTACTAAACCTAAACTATTTAGCTTTAATGTCAAATGTGCATCAGTTCCTAGAGCTGAGTAAAAGACATTGGTGTTATATAAGACTGTCCAAAACAAAACCAAAACACACGTGTATAATCTACACCACAACATCTTCCTCCTGCTGCCTTGCAGGGTAAGTCTCTTTAGACAAAAGCTATTGGAGTCAAACCATTTTACAAACTGGCGGAGGGCAATGGGAAACCACCGCTGTATTATCCCTAGAAAATCATGTCTCGAAACATACAAAAGCATTTGACTGTGTGAAACATAAAGAAGTAATCAAACTGTTGAAAAAATTAAACATTTATGGAGAAGATCTACGAATAATAAAGAATATGTACTGGCAGCAAACAGCAGCTATAAGAATTAACAACTTTTTAGGTACATTTCAGTGCATTAAGAGGGGCATGGGATAAGGATGTGTACTGTCACTTTTTTATTTTTACTATACAGTGAATATATAATGAGACCCTTAACTGAAATGCCCGGAATTGTGGTTAGGGGGCATAATATAAAAAATTTACGTTGTGCTGATGACATTGTCTTGATAGCAACAAGTCAGAAAGAACAACAGGAAATAATAGACATTGTGGTGGTAGAAAGTGGAAGAATGGGCCTCAGTTTAAATATTGGAAAGACAGAAGTAATGGTGGCATGAAAGAATTACTCCTAAGTGTGTAATAAAACTCAATTAGGTGTGTGTGTGTGTTTTTTTTTCTTTGGACAAGTACGGAAATTTCAGTATCTGAGCCCATGGGTAACATCATATGAAAGATGCATTACTGAGATTAGAAAGAGAATAGGACAGGCAAAAACTACATTTTATAAAACGAAGAACATCTTGTGCAATATATCTCTGTCACTGAAAGTAAAAAAAAAAAAAAAGAATTCTTACTTGCTACATACATCCAGTATTAACATCTGGCTGTGAGTCTGGAGTCTACGAAGAATTATCAAAATTTTCTGGTGAGATACAATCTCAAACACTAAACTACTTCAAGTCACAAACCAAGAAACTTTAGACAGCATGATAACCAAGAATAGATGGAAATGGCTTGGCCACGTTATGAGAATGAATCCTGATATACCCGCCAAAACAGCTCTCACATGGACACCAGAGGGAAAGAGAAAACAGGGGTGCCCAAAAACAACATGGAGACAAACGATGGAATGTGACCTGAGTGTGGCATCTTTGACATGGAAAGCTGCACTGAAGATTGCACAGAACAGAAAAGCATGGAAAGTCATCTCTGAAGCCTTATGTGCCATCAGGCATAACGAGAACTGTTGATGTGAGTCTGGGACAATCGGTAGGCAGGCCAAATAATTTTTGGAGGCCTCAGAGATGTGATTTTGTAGAATAATGCTTAAAATACCTTAGACAGCAAAGAGCAACCAAGAGGTTTTGAAACAGGCGGGAGCCCTAAGACAACTTCACAGACATCAGAAGGAGACAGTCATCATTTTTCGGCCATGTTATTAGAAGAGGAAAAATGGAACATGTTGTGACCATTGGAAAGATCTGTGAAAGGAGGGATAGAGGAAGACAACGAGAGAAGATTCTTGACAGTCTTGTTGCATGGTATGGAGGTGTGTCGGCACACGAACTGGTACATACTGCAGGAGATCGCAAATTATAGAGAGGCATGATCACCCACGACAGTTGGCAAGGCACCTGATGATGATGATGAAAATCTACAACCAGGAAAGCAAGGTCTGCATGCAAATGCAAAGAATATGAATGAGCTGGCTGAGTACTTACTGTATATCTGGGGATAAAGATCTAAAGAAGAAGAAGCAGATCTGCAGACTCAAATTTATGACATTAAAATCGAAACGGATCCTTTACCAACAACTTTAATGGTGGGCTTTCGATGGTCAAGATCGATCCAGGTGATCGGCATGGGCCTGTATCTGACTTTCTTCAGTCGTTTGACGCCACCATGGCTCTCTTCCAGGGTGGCATCAGGCAAACCATGCACCACAGAGCTGTGAGATATGAAAACATGTGGAGCTGTGAGATACGAAAACACACAGAGCTGTGAGATATGAAAACACGTGGAGCTGTGAGATTTGAAAACACACAGAGCGGTGAGACATGAAAACACACAGAGCTGTGAGACATGAAAACACACAGAGCTGGGAGACATGAAAACACACAGAGCTGGGAGATATGAAAACACACATAGCTGTGAGACATGAAAACACACAGAGCTGGGAGACATGAAAACACACAGAGCTGTGAGACATGAAAACACACAGAGCTGGGAGACATGAAAACACGCAGTGCTGTGAGATATGAAAACACGCAGAGCTGGGAGACATGAAAACACGCAGACATGGGAGACATGAAAACACGCAGAGATGGGAGACATGAAAACACGCAGAGCTGTGAGATATGAAAACGCAGAGCTGGGAGACATGAAAACACGCAGAGATGGGAGACATGAAAACACACAGAGCCATGGGACATGAAAATACACAGAGCCATGAGACATGAAAATACACAGAGCGGTAAGACATGAAAACACACATAGCGGTAAGACATAAAAACACACAGAGCTGTGAGACATAAAAACACACAGAGCTGTGAGACATGAAAAAAACACAGAGATGTGAGACATAAAAACAAACAGAGCGGTGAGACATAAAAACACACAGAGCTGTGAGACATGAAAACACACAAAGTTGTGATACATGAAAACACACAGAGCTGTGAGACATGAAAACACACAGAGATGTGAGATATGAAAACACACAAAGCTGTGAGGCATGAAAACATACAGAGATGTGAGGCATAAAAACACGCACAGATGTGAGACATGAAAACATGCAGAACGGTGAGACATAAAAACACACAGAGCGGGGAGACATAAAAACACACAGAGCGGTGAGATATGAAAACACACAGAGCGGTGAGACATAAAAACACACAGAGCTGGGAGACATGAAAACACACAGAGCTGGGAGACATGAAAACACACAGAGCTGGGAGACATAAAAACACACAGAGCTGTTAGACATGAAAACACACAGAGCTGGGAGATATGAAAACACACTGAGCTGTGAGATATGAAAACACACAAAGCTGTGAGGCATGAAAACATACAGAGATGTGAGGCATAAAAACACGCACAGATGTGAGACATGAAAACATGCAGAACGGTGAGACATAAAAACACACCGAGCGGGGAGACATAAAAACACACAGAGCGGTGAGATATGAAAACACACAGAGCGGTGAGACATAAAAACACACAGAGCTGGGAGACATGAAAACACACAGAGCTGGGAGACATGAAAACACACAGAGCTGGGAGACATAAAAACACACAGAGCTGTTAGACATGAAAACACACAGAGCTGGGAGATATGAAAACACACAGAGCTGTGAGACATAAAAACACGCAGAGCTGTTAGACATGAAAATACACATACTCACACGCACGCACGCGAGCACACACACACACACACAATTATATATAAAATCGCCCTCTTCTCTTTCGCGTTCACCAGATGTAAACTCATGTTGAAGGTTCTGGTTGTTCGTCCACGTCTAGACTGTAGCCCTGTTCTAGAATCTGTTTAACGTTTACATTTTTATACAAACTGCTAGTTCGTTACCTGTCAGGCAAATGCACCTCGATGAAGAAGGAGAGTATCAGAAATGACTTAGAGACATTCAACAAACATATTCAGGCACCCCCGTGTGGTTTCCGGGGCCCCATTGTAGGGGAAAACAAGAATAGACTCATTGCCTCCCCAAAAGCATGTCGTAAGAGTCGACCAATTGGGGAGCTTCCTTTGAAGTTGGAGTACATCTGCCGGAGAGGCAAGGAACCAACAGTCTGTATTCAAGAGAATGAGATCTGTAAAACCGATGCACAACACTCAGGTTCTGGAGCAGGACTGCAGTTCAGAAGTGGACGAACAACCAGAACTTTCCGCCAGAGTGTACAGCTGGTGAACGCGAAGAAGAAGAAGAAGATATTCAGGCAGCATCTGAGAGACAATGGAGCATTTTATTTCTAATCACTTCAATCCTTCTGGTCGTAGTTTAGACAAGCCCACTAGTTCTCTTAAGCTCAACGTGGAGATTCACTTTATTATAATTGTCGGCTGTGTTCTTAATCAGGAATTACTTCCTTATTACATTATTTTCTTGAATATAGTTTCTTGATTTCCTTCCCGTTCTGGACAAACTGTTGGGCACGCTAGGCCCAAAGCTCGAGTTCTGTACCCTTTCAGTATATTAGACATCGTTCCGCGTGCGTGCGTGTATACACGAGACGATGCCTAATATGCACAAACAACAACAACAACAAAAAAGTACATAAAATAATATTTTAAAAGGCAAAATATATATGCGTGTGTGTGTGTCTGAGCAAATAGGCTAGTGAACACGTTTCACAGTCTTGGCAAATCAAGATTCAGTTTCGACAATGAATGGTTTAGAGAAAGACGTTTTACGCGAGGGGTACCAGAGACACAGCCATAGATTACACTGAGGCCTGGCCATGCCTCAGTGGGGATTCAAACAAGTGACCTCTAGCCCACTGTTGTAGCTCCCCTGTACTGGAAAACACAACAGCATGAGCAACACACTCTTATCTCGGAGATTACCTGTATGTCAAGTGCAGTTTCAGAAAATGCATGTTTCGAATCAAGTGTGAAATTTCCAACATGGTCTCTGCCTCCCTGCCATTGCTGTGCTTGAGATGACTGTACTCGCCAACAAGTTGCTCAGTCTTTGGGTCCATAAATACGAGTCGTATTCTCACTGGCTGAAATCAGTATGTGTACAGTATGTTAGAAATTCAGAGGAACTTCGTCTTTAAAGCAATTATAATAGTGCGATATTCTTTAGATTCATGGATCCGCTATACAGCTATCAATATAATGGTCACAATCATAGGTGCTGGAAGCTAGAGGTTCCGGCGCCTTGAGCTCCCTCCTCCTTTTCCTACCATACAATTCTCTTAGTCATTTCTTTAAAATACGTGTTTATGTGTGTTAGCCGTTCATTTGAGTTAACATCTGTGACATAACTAAATTGATATAGAAAAGTGGACAGTTTCAACCGGCGTATGCGAGCAGACAGCCACTAACATTATCATGCATCTTGACTCCAATACCAGGGTCAGCCAAGTACGTCTCCGGTTAATCGGCCGCGCAGCTGGTCTGGTCCCGTGATTTGCGAAGGCTGAAGAAAAATGGCTGACACTTGTGTTTTCATGAGCGTTGTTATGTGTGTGTGTGTGTGTGTGTGTGTGTGTGTGTGTGTGTGTGTGTGTGTGTGTGTGTGTGTGTGTGTGTGTGTGTGTGTCATCGAGTTTTTAAAATTAATAAATGATTTTACCTCCACTTTTTATTTACTTATAACTAGTGTCTTCACGGAAAAGATTTAATGTTCTTTATGCGGTTCTCTATGGATTTATTTTTATTGTGTTCTTTCGTTGTCTTTCTCTATCTTTCCTTCCACGGATCTTTCCAGTGGTCACAACATGTTCTATTTTCCATCTTTTCCATCTGATGTCTGCGATATGTTGTCTTCGGGCTCCCGCCTCTTCAAAACCTCTTAGTTGCTCTATTTGGCTATCCAAGGTATTCTAAACATTCTTCTGTAAAACCTCATCTCTGAGCCTTAAGAAATTGTTTGGCCTGCCTACCGATTGTCTAGGATTCACAGCCATATTTTAAAACTTGATGTATATGGCTAGCAAGAATTCTTTTTCTTACTCTCCATTTTATAAAATGTAGTTTTTGCCTGTCATATTCTGTTTCTTATCTCAATTATGCATCTTCCATCTGATGTTATCCACGTACCCAGATGTCTGACAATGTCCTTAGAATATATATGGCATTGTTTGTACCTTTTCCTTCTACAAATCCACATTGTTCATCGCTGATTTATGGTTTAATTTTGTTTCTTATTCTTTTCATAACTATTCTCAGTAAAATCTTAGTCATGTGACACAAAAGACTTATTGTGCGATGATCTTCACATTTTATAGTGCCTGGTTTCTTAGGCAGAGCTATAAATATAGATTTTAAAAAGTCATTTGGAATATACCCACTATTATAAATATCATATAAAAGTGTAGTTATTATTTCAATTCCAAAATCTCCCAGTGCTTCGATTTCTTTGAGTTAGATGTCTAGCCCGGGTGCTTTTCCTTTCTTCATATGATGTATTGCATCCTCAACTTCTGCAGTCATTATTGGTGGACCATCATTGTTGGTCTGCAGTTCTACGTCTGGTCTATTATCATCATACAATTCCCCTATATACTCTGTCCATCTGCTAATTATATTACTATGTCCCATTTCAAACATCCAGTGCTGTTACGTGTCATCTTTCCTGTTAACATATTTATCTGTTGATGCATGGAATATGAGTCTTTCCTGTGATTTTCACCAATCTCTGTACACATTTGATACAGCCATGCTTCTTTAGCCACTTTGCATTTGTTCACTATTTCTTTTTGAATTCTAGAGTATTCTTCTTTATCATTCTTCTTCTTCCTTCTTTCGTCCATCAACTGCAGAATTTCGGTGACATCCATTTTTTTTTTTGGCAACTATATGGGTTGTTGGGATTGTCTCTTTTGATGTCTGCTGAATTGACTCACGCAACATATCTTTTGAGGCATGATTTACTAGGGATAATACAGCGGTGGTTTCCCCTTGACTTCCCCCTGTTTGTGTATGGCTTGACCCCAATAGCTTTTTTTCTAAAGAGACTTACCCTGCAAGACAGCAAGGGGGGGGGGGGGAGGGGAGAGAGAGAGAGGTTATTGTGTAGATTATACACGTGTGTTTTTGTTTTATTTTGGACAGTCTTACTGTCCCACCAACTAACTCGCCTCCTCTCAATGACCATCACCTGTTTCGGTCCACGGCTACTTATTCAATATATATATATATATATAACTTCTATATCTAGAGGTCATTCCACAATCCGCCACCTGGTGGACGCGCCTAGTAGTAGGCAGGCTCTTACCACATAGTACTTACGATAACATTGGTTTCAGATGTAACTACGCGAATAATTTTGTCAGTGAACTTTCGTTTAGGTTACTTTTGTAAATAATGTCTACAACACGTAATGTTTTCCTAGCGGTCACCCATCTACATAACGTTGCTTGACTTCAATGATCAGTCAAGAACCCGTATTTTTCACGACCGCCTTTTACTTTCCAAGACTGATTATGGCGAGGCAAATTGTCTTCAATCCTTTAATAAGAGTAATATTATTTCTATTGTGACTTTAGCCACGAGTTCATCGTAACAGCTCTCACGATATTACTTTTAATTGTTCACAAACCACAGCTGACCTAATTAAATTAATTTCTTATATGTGTTACATCTTGCTGTATAGTTATTGGACAGAATATCTTTCTCAGTGAACGAAACTTGACCGACGATAGCACCAGTCAAAGTTGTGTTGGTATCTTTGCCTAACATTTTTTCTCTCTCTCTCTCTCTCTCTCTCTCTCTCTCTCTCTCTCTCTCTCTCTATCTCTTTCTTTCCTTCTTTCTTTCTCTGTCTCCAACACTCTTTTTTCCGTATATTTCTTTCCCGCCTATCTCTCTCTCTCTCTGTCTCCAACAGTCTTTCTTCCGTATTTTCCTTTCCCGCCTCTCTGTCTCTTTCTTCAGTGTACTTCTTCACCGCCCTCGCTATACCTGTCTTCTTGGGAAAATGCCAGACGATCGTGTTAACGGGTGTTATGAGAAGACAAAGAGATCACAACAAAGGGCGATGGCAATTATAACTAATAAGATCCCAACTATTTACACATTCTCTCTCTCCCTCTCTCTCCCTCTCTCTCTCTCTCTCTCTCTCTCTCTCTCTCTCTCGCTCTCGCTGCCTACACTGTATAATCCCCTATGTTTCCACACAATCGACAAGGAGTCTCTGTCTCTGGCTCTCGCTGCCTATACTCTATAGTCCCCTATGTTTCCACACAATCGACAAGCAGGTCAGAGAAAGATACAATTACTACCATTCACATAAAAATACACAAAGAATGAGGAAGGACGTATCAACAAAGCGGTTGTGACCAACAAACAATGTACTAACACAAGTTGTTACATCTACATTCGGCCGCCTGCAGACCAACCGGAGAAGGGTCACGCATGAACAAGAAGCCACTTCACCCAGGGTTGGCTAACCAAAACACAACGCATATGTGTTTGTATACTCACTTTCTCTTAGCTTATGCTCATTATTATTATTATTATTATTATTATTATTATTATTATTATTATTATTATTATTATTATAATTATTCAAGTATTTTGGACCAATTGGCTATTGGTGCGTGCTGTGGTAAAAGCGCGCCGACCACCTTTACTTCCTATGACGGCATCTATCCTACATAAAACTCAACAAAACCATTTGCGCTCTCTCTCTCTCTCTCTCTCTCTTTCTCTCCCCCCACCCCCACACACACACACTAGCTGTCCGTCTTTCTTCCACCCCTATCTATCTGATACTTGTCGGAATGGTTCCATACTATGATAAAAAGCGGCCAAAAATCTTTTCTCCTTGTCTAACTATCTCTCTTTCCACAAAACTTCCAACTGTTGTCTCGCCAAAACACGTAATGCTTGCAAAATTCGTAATTAGCGCAGAGAAAGCACACAGCATGCTTATGGCACTCAGGTAGAAACTGTTCCTCCCCAAAACGATTAACAATAGAGGTGGAACTTGATGAAGTCACCTTAAAACGGGGCATATCAAAGTTTCTTCAGAACAGCGCCACTATCCTTAATACACTATCCTTGATACACTGACCTTGATACACTATCCTTGATTCACTTTTCTTGATACACTATCATTGATACACTATCCTTGATACATTTTAAGTCATTTGATGTTATTTCTGAACTAGGCCACTTCAACTTACTCTGTCTTTTCGTCGACACGCCTTCTCGTCCCTACAACGTCGGCGTCTTTAACGTTGTCGTCGTCGTCTTCGTCGATTTCGTGGTCGTCATAGTCGTCTTCGTCCTCATCTTCCTCTTCTTCTCGACTTCGTCTTCAGCCTCGTCTTCGTCACCGTCGCCTTTGTCTTCGTCGCCTTCATTGTCTTGACCCCTACAACCAGTAGTCTGATCGTCTGTTTCCCCTACAACCAGCAGTCTGATCGTCTGTGTCCCCCTACAACCAGCAGTCTGATCGTCTGTGTCCCCTACAACCAGCAGTCTGATCGTCTGTTTCCCCTACAACCAGCAGTCTGATCGTCTGTTTCCCCTACAACCAGCAGTCTGATCGTCTGTGTCCCCTACAACCAGTAGTCTGATCGTCTGTTTCCCCTACAACCAGTAGTCTGATCGTCTGTTTCCCCTACAGCCAGCAGTCTGATCGTCTGTTTCCTCTACAACCAGCAGTCTGATCGTCTGTTTCCCCTACAACCAGCAGTCTGATCGTCTGTTTCCCCTACAACCAGCAGTCTGATCGTCTGTTTCCCCTACAACCAGCAGTCTGATCGTCTGTTTCCCCTACAACCAGCAGTCTGATCGTCTGTGTCCCCTACAACCAGCAGTCTGATCGTCTGTTTCCCCTACAGCCAGCAGTCTGATCGTCTGTTTCCCCTACAGCCAGCAGTCTGATCGTCTGTTTCCCCTACAGCCAGTAGTCTGATCGTCTGTTTCCCCTATACAGCTGTCTGTAAAGATAATCACATCACCTGGGCTGGAATTGTCATGAATCATTTGTTGAACTTCTGATTCTGCAACACCAGGTGATCAGCTCCTGCACTCACGTCCTAACGTGATTAGAACCCTTCACAAGTCTGAAACTTGCTCAGACACTTTGACCCACATTTATCAAGCGTGCAGACATATCTAAGTGTATCTTTACGTGTGAGTGAGTACGGTAAACGACTCTAATTACGCCAGTGGGGGATTGGGCATATCCTGAAAGACTAATAATTTTATAGACCAAACGTCGCTAGACAAGATGGCACACGCGTAAGTCAACAAATAGCCTCTAATAATCATGGCAACTATACTGGACTCAGAAAGCGATATTTTTTCAAATATATTACCATACTAGAACACGGAGATCAGCCAAACTTGAAAAATGTGCATACCTTGCCGATGCAGGGAACGAGGAATGTCGGGTACATTTTAACTGAAATGCTGTTGTCTTCAGCCTTGACGACGCACATGTTCAAAACATCTTTGCTACCTCCCACAACTGGGTTCAAAACATCCTTGCTACCTCCCACAACTGAGTCATCTTTCGGCTGCTTGGTACCAGCCCTAACTTCCTCCTGCTTTCTTATGCTGTACGCTTTAGCTGTCACGTGACAGAGATTAAACAAGTCTGAACAACAAATATTCTCTCTTCATCCCTCACAATCGCAAGAATAATAACCAACAACAACAAATAAAAAGAAATAAATTACAGCTGGTGCTGTTATAGTTCGAGTTCAGGTGTTAGTTTAACTTCGACAAGAATACGGGCAATGTGAAAAAAGTGTAATAAACTGTACACACAACGGAGTGTTAAAACGTGCAGCTAAATGTTTTGAAGGTGCCCCAGTCTGCGACTGTGCCGCTCACGTGTTGCCACAGGCAAATAAGAGATGACAGATGACAGATAACACTACCGTTGTCCATGTAACCAGGTGATGTCAGAAATTTCTTCTAGATCCCCGCTGAATCAGACCAATAATTGTTAGGCTGCATGATGATATTATATAATACTGCCGCATGGTGGAAAGGGGGTGGGGGGAGCGCTTAACCCAACACCACCCCCCCCCCTTTTTTTTCCCCCAGCATTACAAATTTTATAGTTAAACATTGGAGAGGACGTGAGCGAGCCACCGCCCCCCCCCACCCCTAACTCCAGACAGACGGTCTTAACCTCGCCCTAGCCAGCCCCCCCCCCCCCCAACCACCTATGCACAAATCGAAAGGGGTTTCAAATCCTTTCAGTTACCCCTCCCCCACCCCAGAATAAAGTGGTAAAACATTCGGGAACCCGCAACCATACCTTCACACCTTCATACCTACCACCTTACACATTTTCTAGGCAATTAATTGGGGATCGTGGAATGAATTCAAAGTGATTGACGAAATATGAGAAATGTTTAGACAGCCACTTGTATTAAGAGTCACGAGACAGAGGAGATGGCGCCTAAACCACAGACGCGGACCCTGAGAAGAAACCAGCACGGAATCACCAAACAGGCGTTAAAATGGGAAGTAGAAGAATTAAGGATGGGAGGACGCCGAAGAGAAACCCTAAAACGAACCTTGATAAGAGAGACCAAAGCTGCTGAACTCAATTCCATCCATGATATTGACCTAATTGCAGAGGATAGAACAGAATGGCAGAATAGACTGCGAGCTCTGTGTAACATTGAATGGCACAAGATAATGAAAGAATGAATATATATATATATGTATGTATGTGTGTGCGTTTATATATATATATATATATATATATATATATATATATATATATATATATATATATATATATATATATATATATATATATATATAACTGGTTTACCTTATATTTGATCTTAATCGAAATTATTTGTCCATTACATCACTGATCTACAATTTTTACCTGCTCACTTTAATACAAAGCTGTTGTGGTGGCGCTTAGTTGGTGCAGTTAATATCCTGGAGCAGTAACTTTCATCTCGTCAATGCATTTGTTGTTAAATCCTCAAAGAAGAGCGATGCTTTATCCTAATATTGTTAAGCAGAGAGCAAACTCTGTCTTTAAATGCAGAGAATGAAATGATGACAAAAGACTAAGCATGTTTTTCAGCATTAGGTGGATAATCTATCACTATTAATTCCTTTCATTAATTATTTATTTGTTCTTAATTTTATTCTTTAACAAGGCAGTGGCATTTTATGACCAATGGCATACAATTTACGTCGGTCAGTAGCAGTTACTGGATCCAGTGTACAATGCCAACATTTTGAAATATTGATGTAACATTTTAAAGACGTACCGAAAGGTTGGGAGTGGTACCGAAAGTACAATTTTGCTCGACAATGTCAAATAGTGCCATTTTTGTATGGAAGTATCAACTTCGGCAGCCCTGAAATGATCACAAAGTTTTGTGACAAGTCCACTAGCTGAAATATTAAATTTAAAAAATCAGTTTGTCCGCCTTTATTTTCTATGACGGCCATAGACAGCATGCAGGTAGAACATGTTAATGGCAACGATGAGAATTACAACGATAATGATAAAAATAACCCATAAACTATTTCAAAAAGCTGCACACAAGAACGGCTTACATTTCATCAGCCGCAACATGTTCAGATGTCGAGGCTGACTATACTGGCACCAAGTTACACTGACCATTGCATGTTTGTGGTGAATGTTGTTTGGGTTGATCCAAAATCGTGGCTTCGCTTCGCCTGGAAAGTGAGGAGGTTAATTTACATTTGTGTTGTAAAATAAAGTTATTGGTTAACAGAAACAACATAATGGCGCTCCGGAAAAGCATATACATGCTTAGTGTTGGTGTCCTTGGCAGAAAAAAAAGTGTCTGAATGTCAGCAACACTCGTCTGCACAACTGACATCAAGAATTCTCCAGTTCATAGTTGACCTTCTTTCAGTCTGTATTGTTACATCGTATATAATAGACCACTGAAAACAAAGGAGGTCAATTGGCACATCAGACATGTGCTCATCATTCATCATCATGTAGCAGGTCCTTTGCAGAACGTCGCTCTTATCACAGTCTGCCTGAAAGAAAATCGGTCTCTTGCCAGTTCTCCCGCCTCATGAACTTTCACACTCAAGGAGTCACTTATATCCTGTGCCCATCTTCGTGTCCTCTGAAAGTACTGCAGAGTTTTGGGAAATGCCATTCTGGTCTCAAGACTCAGTGAAGGGAAAAACCCCAACTGCACCTCCACGCGGTAGAGGACGGTAAACACACTGCTGTGTGGCCAACTCAGCTACGGGGACCGAGTATTCGCCGGGACAAATGGACACCTGTGGAATGCCCTCTGCTGTTAGCAGGAGCATCACAGAGCAGGGCACTCACTTGCCCTAGCAATCTAAAAGGTTGCTGAGGGCTAAGGACACGGTCTAAAGCCATGTGGATGTGGAAAGCAACGGGAAACTACCACATTACTATCCCTAGAAACTCATCATTGAAGACATGTGGTCACAGACCCATAGTTTATTTTAAACCAATCGGCGCCCCATGGGGACCTGGTAAAATCACACCAGCCGATTTTACTTCCCATAATATTTCCTGGTACACATTTTAGCTGGGTCATCATGGGAATCAATGTTATTCTTTAATTCGCTGATGCGGATTTGAACTAAAGTTCGTCAGACTTGCAAGAAAGCATTAAACCACTGAGCAACCATGACTCCCTACGATATTAGACAGAAACGTTTTTCTGATGAGATGAGTTGGGTTACGAACCGACAGCACTCGGGACATTCCCATAAACGCTTAGTCCTCATATTCAGGAGCCAGTGAAGAGTTCTAAAGCTGATTGTACCGCCAGCCGTTTGGTTATATGTTGGACCTACTTTTCCTCTGATTGCAGAATGTCGGCCAGATCTAATAGTTACTCACTGCGGCACTCATTATTTGCACACCGTATTGATCTTATCTCACTTCTACTTTGTTCACGTGCGCCCAAAGAGCCTTCAACACAACTACATTTTCATTTACCAGTTTACCACCAGTGGTGTCACATCCAGCAATCTGTATGTTTGTTTCACAAAACATATCGCAGAGACAGGCAACACATGCTAACTACTGAAGGCCTCTGAAGCGATGCTTGCCACATTGCACGGAACATTCCTTTGTCTGCCTTTCTCAGCACGCTTTTTTGGTCTGTTGTCATCACCACATGGGTGTGCTGCTAGTTCTCAAGCCAGTGGAGAGTTCTTTGACTGCCTCTACCTCTGTTCTCATACCACCTGTTGTGGTGAACAAGAAACAAACAATGTTTTGGTACACACGTTGCACTAATAGATGCTGATTCGCTTTTTGCAATGAACACTTTCCCTGCGTCTCAACACAGAGACAAAAACAGTTGGATTGTTGAACATTTTTCATTTCCATAATTTCCGGTTCAGCAGCTCTTGAAATCAATAGTGTTAGTAGCACAATGTTATGGTCATTGAACTTTAATACTGACATCTCAAATATGTCTGAAACATTATAATTCAGTTTCCCTTGGTGAACGCTTCGTCTTCTTCTTTCGTTCGCTTGAAAAAGATTATATTTTTTCTAGAATGATCTTCACTGTCTTCTTAAAATCAATCAGCGACCTGTGAAGTTTGGTTCCCACTTGGGTTTCTCTTGGCCAATAGCTGTGCCTTGATATGTTGCATTTGGAACAGTCTTAGAGGACGTGATTTGTTGACACAGGTGCCAATCCTCATGTGCATGCCTGATTCGCCAATCTTAAATTTCGTATACATGTGACTGCGAAGTCGATCATCTGGTCTAGTAACACCCACTAAAAATAGATAAAAACATACACCTATGTAGGTAACAATGTAAGTAAAGGTGTGGAAACAGACAGAAAAGGTTACAACAATAATACACAAGATGTAGGAGCTATTTTGGACCTAAAAAATCTGCAGAAGTCAAATGCTATTAAACCTAAAACTAAACTTAGAATATTTAGTTGTAATGCCAAACCAGTACCTGGAGCCAGTCTTTCATTGAGATAAGGGGGCCGATACACAATATTGCAGGTGTGTTTGCCGTACGCATCCTCGTGGTAAACACAAAAGCTGTGGTGACCTTGACATTGTACAAACTGAGTTTCATCGCGCTCTAAAAGAAAGTAAATGGTTTAATTTTTCACAGGATGCCAAAACATTTATTGGCTGAACTTATCACAGGATGTATGAACATTTATTGGCTGAACTTATCACAGGATGTGTGAACATTTATTGGCTGAACTTATCACAGGATGCCTACACATTTAATGGCTGAACTTATCAAAGGATGCCAAAACATTTAATGGTTGAACTTATCAAAGGATGCCTCAACATTTAACGGCTGAACTTATCAAAGGATCCCTAAAAATTTAATGGCTGAACTTATCAAAGGATGCCTAAACATTTAATGGCTGAAATTATCACAGGATGCCAGAACATTTAATGGCTGAACTTATCACAGGATGCCTCAACATTTAATGGTTGAACTTATCACAGGATGCCTAAACATTTAAAGGCTGAACTTATCGAAGGATGCCTAAACATTTAATGGCAGAACTTATCAAAGGATGCCAAAACATTTAATGGCTGAACTTAAATGCCTAAACATTAATAGCTGAACTTATTACAGGATGCCTGAACATTTAATGGCTGAACTTATCACAGGATGCCTGAAAATTTAATGGCTGAATTTATCACAAGATGCCTAAACATTTAATGGCTGAACTTATCACAGGATGCCTCAACATTTAATGGCTGAACTTATCACAGAATGCCTGAATATTGTATGGCTGAACTTATAACAGGATGCCTAAACATTTAATGGCTGAACTTAAAGCACGATGAATGAACATGTCCCGTGATTTATGAACTTGCCATGGGATGTATGATCATGTCACACGATGTACGAACGTGTCACATGTTATATGAATGTGTCAAATGCTGTTTGAAAATGTCACATGATCTGCGGCCATGTCATATGATAAACGAACGTGCCCCGTGATGTATGAATATGTCACATAGCGTGTAAACATGTCTCATAGTGTTTATGAACACATCACACGGTGTATGGATATGATGTATTAACATCACACTGGGTATAATTGATTTATCTGACCTATCAATACCTTACGTGATGTATGAACATATCCCCCAACGTATGATCTATTTCTCTAACTTATCAACAGGTTACATCATGTATGAACATATCCCCCAACGTATGATCTATTTCTCTGACCCATGAACATACTACATGGTGTATGAACATATACTAAGTATGATCGATTTATCTGACCTATGAACATACTTCATGATGTATGAACATATACTAAGCATGATCTATTTATCTGACCCATGAACATACTACATGAAGAATGAACATATACTAAGTATGATCTATTTATCTAACCCATGAACATGTTACACGATGTATCGAATACCAGTTGCTTTTTAAAAAAAACATGTCTTCTAATTCTTAATAAAAATTTACAACAACAACAACAAAGCGTCTAAAAAGATCATATCTGACCGAATTTATAAGTTCCCTATCATTATGATCAGTTTGTGCAAACAATCTCTTCTAAAATGCTTTATTTTGTCTGTTATCATGGGCGTTCGGTCATCTCTGTAAAAAAGAGCCTGTTATTATAGGCCGATCTATGCTTTTGTCGATGTAGCTTTAGAACTTTCCCAAAGGTTTATCCCATCCAGTTTCCTTCACAATGTGCTTCTATTTAGATTTGTTTGCATCTGCTGCGCAGCGCTTGAACTCATTTACTTTCTCTTTTTCTAACCCATTCTTCTTTCTTGCAACCGCTGAAATGTCTTCCACACGTTCAGCAATTGTTTTACTGTCACTCTCTTTTCCTTCCATGCCTGTTTAACATCTGGGGTCCAGCACAGAAGCTGTTGCACAAAAACAGAGTTGTTGGTTAAGTGACATACCTTTTGTCGAAGACGTCTAAGACGGGTGGGTTTTCGCCCTGTCCTACTTAGAAGTCGTCTAATAGCCATAATCTGGCCTAATTTGGCTTTAAAAATCACAACTGAACCCAGAGGATGATTACAACAGTGATGGCTAGGACAGTCTGTTTTGTGTCTAGTGCTCTGATTGGGTAACACATGTCAAGTCAATGGCCGTGTCAGCATCACCACGTATTATTCCTACTCTAGTTGGGCTAATGTTAAATCATGAAGTATGATGATATCAAAGTCACAGATCAACTGCTCCAGTACAGACCCTCTCTGTCGGGCTCTACGACAGTTCTGTTAACACACTAACATTCTTGAATGCTAGGCGTTCCGTTTCTCCCTGACGCTCCTGTTCTCCTTTTTCTATTCCTTCTTCTCTCTCTCCATTTCCCCGTCTTATCCTCCCTACCCTCTCTCCGTTGGTAGCTGAAGATGATATCAAAAGCACAGATCACACAATCTGTAGCTCCAGCAATGATTCTTTTCATTTTGAAGTGCAACTTATATATATATATATATATATATATATATATATATATATATATATATATATATATATATATATATATAAAGATTTCATATATGAACTGAAAAAAATACATAAGTAAAAACAGACATATTCTTTAACTTACCAACAGAACAGCATATTCCCATTGGCAAAGGCAACGGGCCACTTGAAACTGTTGATGTTTATTTCATATAACCTACATGATGCACCCATTCAAGTGTAGCACCCTGTGCTGCTAGCCCACTGTCTCAATGAAGATAAGCAAAATCTGAGGAGAGCTGTCTGGTGTACACAGGGCGATCGGGTCGGGCTGCTTCCTCTCGTCATCTCCTCACTTCCGACTTGAAAGAATCTGCATAGCAGCTGATTGGAGATTATTGCATTAGTCGTCATTATCATCATGTGGCATGCCGAATATATATATATACTCATTGTTCACCTCAATGTCATCTTTGCAAGTCGGGTTAACCCGTAAGTGATTCGATTTTCTCCTAAGCGTGTTTTTAAGTGTGTTTGCACTGAAGACTCATGTTGTTCTCTTGATGTTAGCGACTGTAAGATTAGGCAAGAGTAGTGTGTCATCCAGGTAATGGCCATACGCGCCATTCACGCCACTTAGCGACTGGTTCACATGCCGCAGGACTCCTAGGCTGATCCTGTAGGTTGATTAGTCCTCTTACAGAGTCGAGAGTCAGATTGTGACTAATTATTTCCCCAAGATGGCTGCTTGTTGTTAACTTTGTTTATATTGCTTGTCTTAGATATTTATTAAAGTTTTTTTAAATAAGTTTTTTGGTTTCCTTTTCCACCTGTGGAGGTGCTCAGTTTGGGGGGGGGGGGGGGGAAAGATATCTTTGTGTTTTAGGGACATGCCTTTTTATGTCAATAGTAATAGAAACTGCTGCGTATTTGACTGTTGTGGGTGGGGCCCCAATTTTTCCCCAAAATATTTATTAAATCCCATTATCTAGTACCTTGTATTAAAAAAGTGAAAGCAAAAATCTAAGAGCACCCCATAGAGAGATAAGGTGGTTGTGGTGTGTCAACAGGACCGTACAACGAGCGACTAACACCAGGCGACACATAGTGCCACAAGTCCGAAGCTGATCACACAAGTATTTTTGTTTTTAAATCAGGTTTATTCAGAAAAAAGAATGGATTACAAATTTAATTCATACTAACAAAAGCAAAAACAATAATGTGGCAAAAATTATTGATAACTGGTACCTTTGTTCCACCAATCTTTAGAAGAGTAGAACAGAAGGGGAGGCAGAAAAGGACAGAGGCGAGGAAAGAAGGGGTCGTTCGTGATTTTATGTTGGTGGTGTCGGTATCTTGACAATTTCAGCAACTGATGATTGTGTTGATGATGATATTGGTGACATTATATATACATTTTATTTTTACACTTGAAATAATTTGAAGTAATCGTGTATTTGTATTTTTAAAGACAAAACAGTGGATAGACCGTAAACATGTCATTTATACATTTAAAGCTGTTGACAGAAGTGGATGTCAGCTAAGATGAGTTGAGTTGAGTCAAGCATTGACATCACGGCACTCGGGGCAGCACTCGGGGCATTCCTATGCGTGCTCCATCCTCATCTTCAGAAGCCAGCGCAGAGTTCCAATACTGATGATGGTGCCAATCACAATGTGGTTATATGTCCGTCCTGCATTTTCTCTGAGTGTAATGAGCCGGCAAAACCCTCTGGTTACACCCAGGTGCCTCATTCTCTCCAGACCATAATAATAGTGTTTCTCTACTGATTCCGTTACTTGTTCCCAAAGGGCCTTGACCACGTCTGCCTTGTCAAGTATCAATTCATCACCCAGTGGTGCAGATCCAGCAAATTGATCTGCCTTTTCATTACCCAACACGCCGACATTGTCTGGAGAAAAGATCCAAGGTATGCTCATTACCCATGTCCCAATTAGGCTTACCACTCTGCTCGAAACATCCCTGTCTTCACCTCTTTCAGAGTTTATTACAATTACGACCTGTCTATGCATCTTGTTCTCTAGCCACAGGAGAGCTGCAGTTACCGCCTCCACCTCTATTCCCATGCTAGATGTTGTGGTGTCGTATGTTAGGCTGTCCTGCACTAAAGATTTTCCATTGGCTTTCGCTACAAAACCCCAGGCACTTCTCTTTCCTCTCAATACAGAACCATCTGTATAGATATTCATATCAACATTGCCTTAAATCAACTGTTGGACTTCCACCTTCGTAGCACCCGCTGGCCACTCTCTGCACTCCCGACTCAATGTGATCATAACCCTACACAGGTCAGACTTGTCCTCTGGTACTCTGACCCACTCCTCTCCTCGTCCAATGTTTTCCAGCATGCATACTTGTCTTATTGTGTTTTCTGATTGAGCGATCCACGGTTTTCCCCCTTTCAGCCTCTGAGCCTTTCCTGCAGCCAAAGTCTCATACAGAGGGTGTTCTTTGTCTGCAGCTACTCTGAGATATGACTTCACCTGCAGCACCTTTAACCTATTTGCAATAGTCGGCAATGCAAAGATATATCACATGCACACAACTGGGATGTCTCTTGTACATCCCAGGATCAGCGCATAGCTTCATTTTGTATGCGCTCAAGTTTCTCTAGCTGACCACAGGACGGTTGCCTTTTTCTGGGTTGATTAGAGCACTCATCTCCGTACACCAGTCGATCACCTTATCTACTGTCGTCTGTAATTCTTCAGCTATTTGATCCCGATCCCTCCCATTTCCTATATTCGAGTACCTCACCTGCAAATTTTAATATTCTGCCAACTCAAGATGTTTCCAGGTATGCAATCTTGCTCGTAAAATCATTGAACTTTGAGTGTATATTTTGCTTTAATATTGGCTGTGCATACTTATAAGTGGTGTACCTTTCTTTGTGTTGCAATTTGGATATACTTTATCAAGAATTTTAGGATCAGCTTTTGGGTAAGCGACCGCCACGGTATTTAATCAGTATAAAATAAAAAACACACAGTCCACAAGTGCTGCTCTGCAAGTCTTGTAAGGTACGAGGGCTGTAACTGAAGGGTTCATAATTTACTAACCTCTCAAACTAAGTTACTGTTTTCCTTACTAAATACTAACTAACGGTATAATTGTTTGTTGTAGCAGTATACTAATAATAATCCTTATCCATTTATGTTCATTTTCATGTGTGATATGTGTATGTTGTGCATCAGCTGCAGTTGTGTGGTCTGTTTTAAAGTGCTGCATTTGTTAAAAGTCAAAATCATATTACCCCTTCCCACTTTCCTAGGCCTCTAATGCAAAACCCCCTGGGACTCAAAGAGTTAACAGTAGTTTTCTTAAATATAAGGTAACATATTTCCTGGTATTCCACTGTTTATTTCTGTTATCCTTTATAATATACTAGCTGTACCCGGCCACGCGTTGCTATGGCATAGTTTGGCTAAATGGAAATGAAAGAAAATAGAAATCGCACATGTCTAATACAATCATTGTCTGCTCAGATATAGAGATAGTCTTTGATCCCCGCCCACCACCACAACTAAATCCACCTACTACTCTCTCCCTCATCAAAGGTTTTTGGAAAAGAAACACAATGGAAATCGCTCGTGTCTAATATAGTTAATGTAGCAATAATTCTCTGCACAGATATAGAGATAGTCTGGTTTTCCAACTTTAGAAAACGCATCATATAATTGTGTCTTTATATTAGTGGTCGTTTAAATGGTGTTATTAGCACAGTAACAAAAATGGTTATTTGGTTATCACATGCTAAAGCTGTTTGTATTTTTATAGGAGACGGAAGTAAAGCTACAGCTGTACTTGTAAATAACAAAATCAGTCTTAAAAAAATTGAATAGCGGAGGTAGCTTTAGTAAAATATAAACAAATTAAGTAATGAGAACTTGAAAATCACGTGTAAAGCTCTTAAATTTCTCTTAAATTTAGGTAATTATACACCTCATCTCCCCTCTTCCACCGACTACTGCTCTCTCCCTCTTCCAAGGATTTGAAAATCATCACTTGGCGATATTTTGTTGTTTTTGTAACTGACATTGACATCCCTGTCCATCCAGACTAAAATGGGGAGCAGGAATTGTAATAAGTAGTGAATGGGGCTAGTGTAATATTTACCACATCATCCTTCAAGTACCAGTACAACTACTACCACGACCACCACCACAGTAGCTAAAATAATGTCATTGCTATCTGTTTTACCATCGGAGTAGACAGGGAGTCGTGAGCCAGAAGATTTTGTGCCGCATAGCTAGTGCTGTCGCCACGGACTTGTCAGGTTAGGATGTATAATTTCGCTTCCCGACAGAAGAACGCCATAACCTTACCGGCGGTCTTCACATGAGAGCACTACGGTGTAACAGCCCAACCACAAATACTACTGCTGCTGCTACTTTGAGGGGGTAAAGCAGTTACTGTGACTTAAAGCTCTCTTAGTAAACAGTTTGCACCCCCCCCCCCCAAAAAAAAAAAAAAAAAAAAAAAAAAATAAAAATTCACCGACTACTCTTTCCTTCATTGAAGTAGTTGAGAGAAAAAAAAAACAATTGAAAAGCAAATGAAAATTGGAAAAATACACCATAATTAGGATATGAACGCTATGGTAAACAGCACAGCTTAAAATTCCAACGCAGATGAAATAATAAAATATAAATGGAAAGCTATGAAATTTCAGCGTAACTATGCAATTGTGAAGTTTAAAAATGAAATCCTAAGTATGCGAAATGGTCAAATTTAATTATCATCTGATTTACCCATATACCTGTCCTTTTTTTTTTTTTATTTTTTTTTATTTTTTTTTTTAGTATTAGTATTAGGCTAGTGCTGTCGCCACGACAGTGCAGGTGAGGATTTTATTTTAGCCCCAGGGAAAAAAACACTACTGCGGATTCGAACCCTGGTCTTCCAGACAGGAGCCCAGTGCTCTAACCATTCGACCAAGCAGCCACTTAGATATCAGAGAAACGAAAAGAGAACAAAACTATTTGAGATGTGTGTCCCTACTACAGTGTCCCGATTATAATACAACTCAAAACAGCAGGAAATTGTTTTCTCATTGACAGATATTCCAGAAATATTATTGAAACGGCACAACAATAGAAATCGCACGTGTCTAATACGTTCAATGTCTGCGCCGACGTCGAGATA